ACGCTTCATATTTCGCTCATTTGGATTGCAACTAGCAAGGGTGTGGGATGTGGGTCTGGGCGACATTTCTTTCTACATCAACGCCCCACACCAATACCCACACTCACACCCACACCCACACCCACACCCACACCCCACACCCACACCCACACCCACCCACACCCACACCCTCACCCACACCCACACCCACACCCACACCCTCAACAGGAGAAAATTAGTTCAATATTGACACGTACTTTATTATTTTCTTAGAATGGCATTATTATTGCTTGAGAATTATTAATTTGAGTAACAGGTCTATGAGAGTATTTTTGTTTGAATCTCGATTGATTCATTCTCTTATTTTTCATGTAAAATAACTACTAAATTAGTTTGATGCTGTTTCGAGCTTAAAGTAAGTTTTAAGAGTAACACAAGTTTTGCATCAGTGTCATTTCTTTCTACAAGTATATTCAAATTATTATCAATGAGAATTTTATTTATTCATATTCTATTTTAATAGTAATTACTAGAATCATGATAATTAGTTTTCTTATTCCACTTCTATTGATGATGGGTGGGGAGTGTTTTTAGCACCAAAAATAGAGTGAAATGAGCACCAAATTAAGTATATGTGAAAAGAGCACCAAATAAAGAGTGAAATGAGCACCAAATTTGTTTATATGTGAAATAAGAAAATAAATAATGTCATCACACAGAACAACATGAAGAACACAAAAAGGTAATAAATGCATGTTATGTAAATATGATTATTATGAAAAAAATTTTTATGATAACAGAGCAGTTCGAACTTTTTTCGACCTGCCTTTACCACGTCGTTTACCCAAAACCTGTAAGCGAGTTTTATCGTTAATTTCGTATTTGTTGAGAAGCATACCCAAACCAATTGAATGTTTGCATACATAAGATTTCAACCCATTTGGACATGTACATGAATTAAGTGGGCATACAAGCCAGCAAGATTTCAACCAAATAACAAACTCGTCGAATGATGTCCACTGTTGAAGTTGATACATTATGCTGCTTTAAAATAATATCAGCTTCGTTGAGTGTATTGACGATATCTAAAATTTGATACTGTTTGCTTGACATGTTTTTGCTACTGGAATTTTTACTTTTTTCTACACTTCTTTTATATACAAATCATTACTCCAATTAATTAGATTATTTATGAATTGTCATTGGATTAATGAATATGGGTAGAGCTTATCACAATTTAATAGCTAAGTACCTATGAACTGCAGTCGTAATTCGTTTAAATCTTAATTGATACCTTTTGTACTGTTCTGCTCATTTGGTGCTCATTTCACCCTTTTTTGGTGCTCTTTTCACATATAATCAATTTGGTGCCCATTTCACCCTTTTTTTGGTGCTCTTTTCACATATAATCAATTTTGGTGCTCATTTCACTCATTTTTTGGTGCTCTTTTCACATATAATCAATTTGGTGCTCATTTCACTCCATTTTTGGTGCTCAAAACACATTTCTTCCATTGATGATTACCAATAAAAGTACTTAAACTATGATGTTGATTTTCAATCATGAAATCAATAAGGGTGATTCATAAGTTTTGACGCGTCTCAGTAAATCGATAATGTTCTTGAGTAAATATTTTCATCTAATAGTTTTTGAGAAAAATTTTTTTAAACCTAAACGATTTATAAATATTAAGAATCAAATTTCATAATGCGTAGACCTTATTTTTAACCTTTTTTGGAATATTGTTAATCATTGTCTCACATCTTTCTACACTAAAATTTTTTTTATTTATTAGTAATCTTTTTGTTTGGCTTTTTAAGTACTCCTATCAGAAAGATTTCTTATTAATATGATCGGTCTACTGAAAGGAGTCAAAACTTTTGAATTTTATTTAGGCTCATATACGATTAGAATCAAGATTCCAAAAAATCTAACTTTATCCTTCAATGGAAGACAAATTAGATAATTCAAAGCTATGTCCGATTCTCGAACATCGTCGGCGATCGATCCTGGTGAGTTATTTAGTCACTACTGTTACACATGGGCTACGCAATATCGGCATTGTTCACAGTACATTGCATCGAACATTTTGGATTGTCACTTTTGTAGTCATGTTTGGCTTTATGCCCTGTTTCATTTTAATGAAACTATTGCAAAATCTTGCTTTTCCTACACAGATGACCTTTGATATTGTGCCTATACGTGATATGTCATTTGCTGCTGTGCCTGTATGCAATGCTAATCCGTATAGAAAAGATTGAATGAACGTAGCGATAAAAGCTTACGCCAGTGAGATACATATCAATCTCAATGAATCGACTCTTGAATCATTAGCTTTACCCATGCTCATCAGTATGTTCAATCGAAATGAGTCTGATGAATTCGAAAAGTTTGGATTTCAGCTATCGGACATGTTACTTGCATGTGCGTATAACGGTATTAATTGTTTATCGAATTTTATTCATTCTCTATCATCAGTCTATGGTAATTACTTTACATTTAATTGGAATACGTCTATGAATAAAGTATTTACATTAGCTGAACTAGGTTCAAAATTGGTAATGTATGAAGGCTTGTCAATGACTTTTTATATACCGAATCATCTTAGTTTCCCTTGGATAATCTTCGAGGATGGTCTTATTTTATTTTTGCATGACAATAATGAACTTCCATATCTGGCTAAAAACAGCATACGATTATGATCTGGTTTCGCTCATACAATAGCATATCGAAAAAGTCAGACAATTTTTCTTTCTAAACCTTATACAAATTGTACAACCGTAGTTGAATATAATTTGCGTCATATCTATGAGGTTATCTTCGATCCGCATTTGGCCGGTCAAGTGGCCTATTCCGAAGCTTTATGCTACGAATTATGTGAACAAGCTTACATTTTCTCACAATGTTCTTGCATTTTACCTATTCCATTTCTCACGCGATATATCTTCTCATTGGATCATCATGATCTTCTGATCACCAATACTTGTATGCCGAACACAACCGAAGAACAATGTTCATTGACTACACGGCAACAAATAGCCATAAATGCATCTCTTATGGCTATTTGGTGTTCCCGACGTGCTCCACAATGTGAATATACACAATTTTTGATTGATATTAGTGCATTATCAGCGCCAACTGCTCACCAAAAAGCGTCATTGAAAAATGTTTTTCTAGAAAATACTTTGAATCTATCCTTACCGGATGACTTTGCTACGAATTATGATGCCTATATGGATGCCAATTATTTACAAGTGTTTGTAATATGTGCTAGTCCATATGTGACGACACATAAACAACAGGCTAAATTAACGTTCGTTGATACATTTTCAGCTATTGGAGGACAAACTGGATTGTAAGTAAGACCTTCTTATATTTGTTAATATTCTATTATAATGAGTTAATTGTATATGGATTGGTCTTAGTACGCTGAGTTTCATGGAATTCTGTGAGTTGATCTATCGATTAATGATGAAACAAATTACAATATGGCGATATTGGCGAAATACTCAGACTGAAGTGCAAGTAATATCATCGACGATGAGCACAACTGAAAATTTACCAAATCAATCACAATAATATATAGGGATTATTTTTCAGATTTACTTTAATTCTGATATTCTAACAAGACTTCTTCTCCTACGAAACACATCAATCAAGTGAGAGAAAAGATGTGACTAACAAATAAATATAAATATCTTCCTAAAACAAGATACTTTTACGTTTCAAATTTGCAAATATAATCAAATTACTTTAATCGTAAGATGAATAAGAGACTTGACATTTCTAGAAAAAAAATCACAATTCAATCAATATAGAGCAGTTTTGAAGTGGATACAACAATCAAAGTCTTGAGTAGTCATTAAAAATAGAAATATATATAAGATAATATAGATATCTAATTTGAAACTATATTTTAAACTAACAGATAAACAAAATAAATTGATTAAATTTTTTACAAATCGATAGACTATCCGATTTAGAAAAAAAAGAAAGAATAATATTTTTAAAAGAGATGAAATATTAAATAAACTTATATTAGTTATTATATAAGGATTGCGTTTGAGACAAATCATCAAATAACTCGTATTCATTTTGATCAAGTTTATCAGTTTTCGACTTGTTGAGTTCTGCCACTTCTTGTGCCACATTATGATTTATTCGTTCATAAGGTAAATTTTCTCTTATCATCATATTCATATCACGAAGACGATCTTCCAAGCGTGGCATGTTTCTAAGTTCTACTGTCAATCGATTGTTTGTTTCTCGAAAAGGGTGTATGGGTGGGAGTGGTGGGTATGAGTGTGGAGTGTGGGTGTGAGCGTGGGGTGTGGGCGTGGATGTGAGTGTGGATGTGGGTGGGTGGTGGGTATGTGTGTAGAGCAAGTCTTTTCCTCACTCACACCCACACCCTCAGTCTACAACAGAAATATTCTTTTGCTGTCAATTATAAATCTATGAATTGAACCTTCAACGATTAGAATTTCAATTCATTGAGAAGATTAAAATCAGATTATAACTAAAATAATTAATAAAAATCTTTTGAGTTGATTGTTTTTTCAATCGACTTAATAATTATTATCGATTTCAATCCAAATATATCCCAAAATATGCATGATTCAGTCAAAAAATGAGATTTATACTCATGTACTAATAAAAATGTGATTTCCTTAAGAATATTTTTCACAGGGAATTGATTATAAAGAAAAATTTGGTGTACTCAAAAACAAAAATAATTGATTTTGATCGATTGATAATCTTTGATGGGATATTATGGAATAGAGAATTTTAATCGATTACAAACAAGTCACGTTCGTCGGTTCGACTCACTTGACTCTCGACTGTATCAGACAGAAGTATACAAGTCTCATCCATGGACACCCAGTTATGAAACAGCTGATTAATGGAGAACTTATCACATATGTCGGATTGACTGAATTTTCATTCTGAAAAATTGAATTGGTTGAAAATTTAATATTAAAAGCACGAGAAACGAATACTTAGCCAACGTTTTTGATGATGTTTCACCTTCCACTATGACAAAAACTTATTTTATTTCATATAGCCGTTCCTACACTCGAAAAAAATTTATTTTCTCAAAAAACCCTTTCCTCAACCTAAAAAATCAATTGAAAATTTCGAGAAACTGACTTCAGATTCGGATTCTCCGACCCCGATTTACTTTCGTCAACCTTTATGGAAAATTTTCTAAAGTGGAAGTTTTTTTGACCCCGATACACACACAAACTATTTTTTTTCATATGACCCTCCCTACAGTCGAGGGAATAAAAGTCTGATTTAATTGAAAATAATTGATTTTAACCAATCTAAAGTCACTCAATCGAATTTCGTCAGATTGAGATTTTAATCAATTATAATCGTTAAGAAAGGATTATTTTCCCCACTGATTGTGGAACAAATAATTGATTTTAATCGAAACATTTTTGGAGAAAGCAATTTTCTATCAAAAATTCGGCCTATAATCCAAAATAATCGTGATAATTCTATGGATATTTTTCACTGGGTATGTATTTATCTCGATTTTCACGCTTTCTTACGATAATTGGCTAGTTCTAAAGGACGTGGGAACTTCATAGTCATTGATTAAGTGTAATGTATTGATGCATGCCATCAGCGACTTTGTAGTACAGCAGTTATTCTTCGTTCTTTCATTCTCTCTTTCTCTCGTCACATTTATATGCACTTCTAGTAAAATATCATTGACTCTACTATCTCACGTAAGCAATTTTAGCTTGAAGCACATGTGCGATTCTCATCGTTGTTTATTTTTACTAAATTTGCTGTCCATTCTTTCTCGTCACATTTGAATGCACACGTGGCAAACATGTATCACTTTTTTCTTCGTTGCAAAGTATTTTTATTATCGAGTAGACGTGCAAACATTGTTTCTAGTAAGTGGCTTGTAATCCCAGGACGAGCATTACGACAATCGTAAACGATCGTATACGACGTCGTATACGATCGTGAACGGTCGTATACAGTGTACATTACGATCGTATACGACCGTGTTTCGCCGTATTACTTGACACCTGAATTACGGCCGTATGTCGTCGTGTCGTATACGACGAAATACGACGTGTATACGACCACCGTAAACGGTCGCACACAGTCGTATACTATGTCGTTTTTCATCGTATTTCATTCAAAATTTTGCC